ATTTTAGTTTTGTTTTCTCTCCTCCTGAAGGCCCTGTCTGGCCCCCATTTGTTCCCCTAGCATCTCCCTCACTAGGACCCACTGCATCTTCTAGTTTCAGTGGTCTGCTTTCTCCCCTTTCGCCGCTTTCTGCTGCAGTGTCAGAGCTAGAAGGGCTATCACCGCCTGAAGCTGCGCTTTCTTCTTCTCCTGCTCTTGTAGATGCCTTTGTTGCTGCTCCCTCCTCTTCATCATCTTCATCTCCACCCACAATCTGACTCGACAAGTTTTGCAAAAACCTTCGGAAACCTCTGCGAACTTTACGTCCCGCGTTCTTCACCCCTTCTTTTATTTTGTCTTTTAGTTTCCTCGCTGCTCTTTTCGCATCTCTGCCTGCGCTGTCAACGAGAGTTTGTATCCTCTCTGTCCACTCTCTTGCTTTATCTTTTGCTTCTTCTACTGTCTCTCTAGCCTGATCCTTTGTTTCATCTAAAAGATCCTTCGTCTTGGGGCCATCGAGGCCATCATCCTCATCATCTGCTGCTGTTGGTGCTGCTGGTGGTGCTGCTTCTGGTTCTCCTTCTGTTGCTTCACTCTCTTGAAGGAAGCTCAGTGCTTCTTTTGGCAGCTTTCCATCTTCTACTGCTTGCACAACGGCCTCAATCTGTTTCAGATTACTTTCTGTTTGCTGAATGAATGAAGAGAAAGCTTCTTGCATAGCACCCCTCAGCTGACTATGTGGGACTTCTCCTGCACTCACCTTCTGCTCAAGAGCCACAAGTGCAGCAGCTTTTTCTTCATCTATTGTACCCTGTNTTCTCCTGCACTCACCTTCTGCTCAAGAGCCACAAGTGCAGCAGCTTTTTCTTCATCTATTGTACCCTGTGCAGACAGCAACTGCTGTCCGCTGCTGCTCTCACTTTGCTGCTCTTGCTGCTGCTGCCCGAGAAGGAACGAGGGGACGTTGGGTGCTGCTGCTGCAGCAGCACCACTCGCAGCTTCAGATTGATGCAAAGCCCCCTGGTTTGAGCTCACAAGGTGTCTTGCAACTGCATCAGACCCATGAGCAAACAACACCAACAAAGAATAATACTTCAGGGCAACACCCACTCCCCCTCTCAGCACGCTGTTACTACAGATCGCCTGCTGCCTCATCTTCACAAGTTGCTGCTGCTTTCTTGCTTCTAGACGCTCCCGAAGATAAGCAAAATAAATTTCCTGTGATCACACAAACACCGCAGACGAATATATTGTATTAAAGCAACCATATGTTGAAATATGAATGCAAGACATGAACCTGAACACACCTCATACATAACTCTCTGCTTTCGTCAACAAAAACATTATTTATAAAAATNAGACATGAACCTGAACACACCTCATACATAACTCTCTGCTTTCGTCAACAAAAACATTATTTATAAAAATAAAGTATTTATAAATTTATATTTAAAATATTAAATTCATATGAAAAAGAACACAACACGCAAATATACAGAACTACACCACGACTGTTCAGAACTGTGGGCCATACAACTGCTGCCTCATATCGAGGGAAACATCTGCATGAAACCTCTATAAACAAAACAGCTGAGTGAAACCTTCAAGAATATACAAACAAAAGAAAATAAATATAAAGAGAGACAAGACAAAAGCTAAAAGCAACCAAGAGCTCCCTCACCCTGCTCCTGACTCGACTGTCTTCGATTGAGATCCAGTATAGACTTACCCCGTATAGAGGAGCGTGAGAGGCAGAAACAGAAAGGAAAAATAAGAAAATTAAATACAACAGAAGAGAAGCAACAAACAAACAGATGAAAGAAGGAGTTTTGTGCTTGTATACAGATCATGATGCAGCAACAAACAGCTGGGGGCGCCGCCTGCTGCCTCACGCGGAGGGAGTGACGAGGGTGCGGTGGAGCTCAGCAGCAGCTTCCTGCTGCTGCTTTCTGGGCGTTTTGTCTCTGAATTTGAATATTTTATTCGCTTTCCAATAAAATATGTTTTAACTTTTTTTTATAATTTAAAATTAATTCTCTTCTGAAAGCTTTCATACACTCTTTCCTGCTGTCGCTCCCCTCCTTGTGCCCGCTTGGTCACCCCTTGCACGGCGTGCTGGCTCAGAGCCTCACCCCAGCACCCCACATCAAGCCTAGTTGCGATAAACTTTTCCGTGAAATTTAATTTATTAAATGCAGTAAAAACAAATTTAAGTGGAAATAAAGCACTCTCATAAACCCATTTTTATTGAAGTATCATACCCTTGTCCGCCCGCTGGATGGCCTCCTGTCCATTGGACTAACCAGCCCGGCTAAGCGGCTCAAGGAAAAAAAAAGAAGGTACAGTTAGAGCTCTCGCAAAAATATGCAGCATAAAAACAATCAGTTGAATAATATAGAAGAAATATTGTAAGAACAATATGCAGTAAGAGCAGCCGCAAGAACTATGTGCGGTGACAGCCGTTACATGAACAATGTGCACTAGAAGCAGTTGCAAGAACCAGATGCAATAGAAGCAAACACAAAAACGAAATGCAAAAAAAATGTTATAAGACATTGAAGTATAGTGGTAGTCAATACAAGAGCATGCAAGAAAAGTAATTTGTTAGAAGAAAGTGCAACAAATGCCGTAACTGCGAGAACATGAATAGAGAGAAAGTTTGATGCACGAAAATACACTGAAAATAGTTGACTACAAGAACACGCAATTAAAACACTTCATCTCAATAACTCAGAGTGAAACTCAGTTACAGGGAAGTAAAGAAAAAACAGCTAGTTAGAAGCCACGAAATAAATACAACTGCCTTCAATATACTGAGCTAAGATGAAATTCAGTGCAAACAGCAAACACCGAGGCGATATAAGAAAGCCTGATCTGCTGCATATGAAGGGAGAGAAACTTCGCCTGAAATGAAAGGCAAGCAGAAAATAATTAGTTTTTTTTTTCTTGCACGAGGGAAAACGATACGTCGCAAATGAGGAGAAATTGAGGGAAATTTTGTTTGCAAACGGAAAGAAGAACAGAAACTGAAATAAAGAAATGAAAAGGAGTGATAGTACAGCTCAATTCCTCTCCTTTCTAGTTCTATGGTGTGCATGTTCAGGTTTCCTCAACTGAATCTCCTGGTTTCTCCCTTTCGTAGTTATATTTACACATATATTATGCTGTATATACTCTCATTGTCTCTGTCTATATTCACTTATCCAAATGAAGTAAACGCAGGCTGAGATTCTCTCTCTCACTTCTGAACACGAATATCTACTGTTTCAACCCCCGCAGCTGCGCTGTGCAAGCTATGTGCAACTATGATAATATCTATAATAATGTATAATACGTAAGAAAACAATATATTCTATACAATAATATGTATAATATATAATACTACGCCGTTTGCTGCAGTGTAGTGGCTGCTTGTATGCATGCATTCATTCGTGAATTTGTTGATGCTGGGTCACCAGATCTTTCAAGTAACCTCTTCTTCTGAGGTGTAATACAAAAAACTATTTATTCTCAACTGCAGCACGAACTATACACCCTCAGCCCCGCAAAGCTAG